GAATGATGAGTTTGTAAGTTCGACCTTTTACAAACAAATCATTGGATCCTTGAGATATCTTTGCAATACTAGACCAGATATCTACCAAAGTATAGGATTGTTAAATAGATTTATGGAGAAACCACAAGAATGTCATCTCATGGCAATAAAGAGGGTGTTGAGATACATAAAGGGAACAATTGTTCATGGTGTATTGTTACCAAAGAAGTCTAAGAACATAAAAAATGTTGAAGTTCATGGATACACTAACTCAAATTTTAGTGGAGATCAAGACGAAAAGAAAAGTATTGCAAGCTATACTTTCATGATTGAAGGTGCTCCAATCTCTTGGAGTTCGAGGAAGCAAAGCATTGTGGCTTTGTCATCATGCGAAGCAGAATATATGGTTGCATCATATGTTGCATGCCAAGCAGCATGGATCGAAATGCTACTTGAAAAACTTAGGATAATGAAACCTAAGAAGATGAAGTTGTTTGTTAACAACAAGTTAGCTATTAACCTGGTGAATCACCCAGAGTGTCATGGTCGAAGTACGCACATAGAAAGAATGTATCATTTTCTGAGGGATCAAGTCAACAAAGGAAAGCTGGAGATAAAGCATTGCAAGACAGAAGTGCAATTAGCTGACATATTTACCAAATCTCTGAAGAAAGTCAGATTCGACGAGTTAAAGAGAAGAATCGAGATGAGAAGTCTTGAGAACATGAATTAAGGGGTGTGTTAGAAGTATAATTATTTTTCTGTCGAAATGCATGTGTGGTGTATGTCGAATAGCTTATTGTATAGGTTATAAGTTGTATTCGACAGAGTCGAATACAACAGATATTGTAGTATATCAAAATCATGTTTTGGGCTTTAGCATGTTTTGTCTAATTGGGCATCGATATTATTTACCTATATAAAGGGTTGTTGAGTTTGTAATCAGTGTATAATCAATAACAGATTTTTACAATTCAGTTAGAAACACAACAAACTTTCAACATCTCTCTCTTTTTTTCTTCTTCCTCTTTCATAAATTATCTTTCTTAAAAACTCTTTATTCCAACAAATGTCACCTCTCCTACCCACACGCCTTTAACTTAAGACCACAACATTGATTTGGACAAATCCATGCATAAATTCATACTAAGTGCCGAACTAGCATACCAACAATCAAATATCTTATCTATAATCTCAATATTCAAGACAAAAAATTGGAGTATATTACAAAATATTCAAATTTAAAATAATTGATATTTACATCTTATAAAATAATAACACCAACAATCAAATCATTATAATTGTACCCAAAAAATGACACCAACAATATAATCATACACTTACATCAAATGTCTTTTCTGTTTTGTTTTTCTTTTGTTTGGTATTGAATAAATAAATTTTTTATCAACTACTAAATAAACCAAAATTAATATTCTTATAGATCAATAATTAAAAATAATAACATAAAATAAATGAATGTTCTAACAATAATTTTATAGAAATTTGGGTTGAATTAAATCCAAGATAAAATTATGAATAATAATAATAATAATAATAATAATAATAATAATAATAATAATAATAATAATAATAATAATAATAATAATAATAATAATAATAATAATAATAATAATAATAATAATAATATGCGATTCTCATATTTAATATTTAATTGTCCTTTATTTAATACATTACTAAACTTTTTATAAAAAAATTATATATTGTAAATTTATAATAGAATAATTGTGAAAATATTTTTCTTCATTATTTAAACCAAGTCATAATCTCATATAAAATAAAAATAAAATTATAAGCTATATTATTTAAAACTTATTTAAAGGTTATTAAATAATATTAAATAAATAAATATTTAGACATAAACTAAAAGGTTAGAGTTATAATTATATAATTAATTTGATGATAAAGTCTAATGAAAGATTTGAAAGATTTATTTATACTCGTCACTAAATAAAATTAATTACATTTAACATACTTCAAATAAATATTAAATGATTGGCGACGAGAAAATCAACATTTATGTTATCATAATTTTTATTTTTTTCCCGTAATTACACCAATGAGACCGGTGTTTTAAAAATTGAATTGGACTGACCTGTCGAACTACGAACCAACCAGGTAATTGGTCTGGTTCAATTATTTGATCGCTTATATCGTTGAACCAGTGCGAATTGGAAAAAAACAGGTGTAAATTGGAAAAATCAGAGGTTTAATTGCTTTTTTATTTTAAAATATTAAAACGACATTGTTTTGATTAATTTAATAAAAAATTAAAATAAAAAATAAAATAAATAAAATATAAAAATAAAAATAAAAAATAAAGTAAAATAATAATATCATTGACGGGAAAGTTGTTGTAGATTCGATTGATTTTACTTCATATGATTTTATTATTGAAGAAGGAGATCCCAACATTGAAACAATTTTCCTTCCTTTAAACTAAATATATTATAGTTATTTTGTTATAAACTATTCAATTAGATTATGTTGTACTTAGATTTTATTTGCAATTAGACTTTGTAAATGTGTACTATTTTGTTATGTGTGATACATATGTTTAAAATTTAAATTTAAATTATGAACTAATGAACTTATGATATGATATTTAAAAAAATATTAAGTGTTAGTTCTTTTTTTGACAAAAGAAAAATCAACTCACATCATTAACCAAACAATGTTCAATACAACAAGGAATTGAATTAAGAACCATGCGTCGAGATCAACATTTGGTCGCCCTAACTAAAATATGAGCCACACAATTAGCTTGACGCTTTACAAACTTGACCACAAAGTCGTTATGAGAAACTAAAAGATTATAAATACTTGAGATGGTCATATTGTATTCTTAATTACCGAAAGAATTAGTATTAGCAACATGAACCACCAATTAGGAGTCACTCTCAAAAGTAATGTGATGCAGATTCAATTGAATAGCTGTTTGGATTGCTTCCTTCAAAGCCAAAACATTTGCTTTAATAGTGTAACTCACATTATCCCACAATGTACCTGCCAACACAAATTTGCCAAAACAATTCCTAACAAACCAATCTCTATTAGTCGTACCCAAGTGTGTGTTGAAACTCGCATCGACATTACACTTCAACATACCTGCTTGGGGAGGTTGCCAAGTGAGATGATGGGTCTTATTATTGCCCTCTGAATTTGAGACTTGGGTCATAAACCAATCATAACTACTACCCTACACACAACCTTGTCGTCCTCCCTACTACAAATGTCATGGATCACCCTTTGTGCATCATCCATAAGAAGAAGTCACAGTCTAATAATATGATCAAGTCCTGCAGTATTCCAATAATTAAGCGTTTCAAAACAACCAAAAAAAAATAAGGCACTCATCTTCCACATCCGCCTCACATAATTGACAACAGTTGGGGCAAGGGGCATAGTATTGTCGAAGCTTATTTCTAGTAGGAAGACACCCTCGACATAAACGCCAGAGAAGATATTTGGCTCTTAGCGGCGCTTTAATTAAGTGTTAGTTATATTTTGTAGAGATTGAATTATCCCGTTTGATCGGCTTTATACCTATATAATTTTGTTATAATGATTGGTCTATTCAGTCGAGTTATCCGATTTAATCCAGTTTAGTCATGTGGTTCGACCAGTGACCTAATGGTTCAATCAACGAACCAACGATTCAGTACCCTCATCAATTTGATGACCGATCTGATTTTTAAAGCACTGAATGAGACAAATTTATTTAATTATTATATTAATAGTTTAAATTTCGATAAATGACATATATTTTTCTCGTATCTAGATCACAATTTTTTTTACCGTATTTACATCAATTAGACACATTTATTCAAACATTAATTTAATTATAAAGACACATTTATTCAAACATTAATTTAATTATATTAATTTTAATAAATGACTTGTATTTATGAATGACTCGTATTTTATTGTGATTTATGTAATGATATTAAATATTTAATGACAAATATTTGCATCATATATTTTTTATATTATTTGTGACAAATATTTTTTTTATATTTTTTTATGATTTATATAATGTTATAAAATCATAATTAAAAACAATTATTTAATATAATTGATTAAAATTAATCATGTAAAACAATGATTGATTAAAATTAATATGATTGACTAAAAATATTTAAAATTAATAATGTTATTCAATGATTTAGTTAAAATTTAAAAGTGAAGAAGAAGTTATGCCATTTATATGATGAGAGAGACCCAAGTAACATTGAGCAATAAAAATTAGAGTAAAAGAGAGACAGATGCAAAGACTGACAATGAAATTGAAACGGTAATAAAACAGTGTTAAGATGTTGAAGTGTCTCTACACTCTGTACCACTAAAGGGACCCCCCATATTTAAAGCAACCCTCCCTCAAATCCTACACCATTTAGCTACCTTCATCCCTATTACTAGTATTTATTTAACTCCTAAATATTTTATTCAAATTTTTTCATTTCTCCAGAACATTGGACAAAAACACAGGTGATAAATATTATTTTATAATACAGTATAAAATTTCATAGATTTCGTCTTTAAATTACATTAATAGTGTGCAACAACATTCGATTGGAGAAACGCTAATTCAACTTTATTTATTTAAAATTCTGACCATTCAAGTATTAAATCAATAATATATGTAACAATTATCGGTAACGAACAAAATAATTAATTAACAACAACAGCGATTAATTAATTAATTAATTAATTCCAGTATCACTAATCTAACAGATTGAGCCGTGTAGCCAATATCACCACTTCATCATCACCACCACCAACATCAACATCAACATCAACAAGAACAGGAACATCTTAATCTTAAAAAAATCAAAAAACAAAGCATCATAGAAAGAAGAAGAGAAAGTACATAGTAGTTGATTCAGTACCCAAGAAGTTAAAGAGACCCATTTCCTTGAGAAGAAATCTGCTGCAAAAAACGAAACATTGTTGGATCTCATAAGTTGTTGCAGGCAAAAACGTGATCATCTTTTGCTTCAGCTTCAAGTTCTTCCAACAGGAGCAGGACCAAAGGAACCAACCTCTTGATGGTGGTAGCATGAGAAACTAATGGTGTAGTAGTTGGTAAGAAGAAGGGAGGGGTGTGAAAATGAAAAGATGAGAAAGAGAACAAGGGGGGTGCATGTCGTAAGAGAAGAAGGCAAGAAATGTGAATGTTTTGAAAAGGGTGTTTGTTTTTTCAAGAAGCTGCTGCAACACTCTGTGATTGTCTGTGGAAACATAATGTAATGTAATGTAGTGAGACAGTGTAGTAATTATTTTAATCAAAATGAATGGTTGGTTGGTGAATGCTTTTTTGTGTGTGTACGGTTATAGTAAGACATTGGGTTGGGAGAGGTTAGTTTACTTAATTTAATTATGTTGTTAAGTAAAGAAGGTCTTTAATGTTTTATTATATAGTAGTAATGTTTGTTCTCTGTGTATTTGGTTGGGCCAGAACAGAAGACCAGATTAGCTAGATTTGCGCAAGCAACCTCTGTCGTCCTTTTCTTCATTCCAACCCTAGCCTTCGTCAATCAACATAATTTCACTCTTGTCTTTATTGCCTTTTTTTTTTCCTACTTTTCTTTTTCTTTTCTTTTTTTTTTCTTCTAACTCTTGCTTTCTGGAGGACTTAAATTAGCTTGTAATTTAACCTAACTTGGGATTCTTATTTTTAGACCCTAAAGCAATATATGGTTTACCACACAAATCTCAATTGATAAGTAATGCAATGCAACTTTACATCTCTTTTATTCTTATATTATGTGTATTCTTCCTCCATAAATATTACTAGTTTGCAAGGATCACTTTTAGAAGGATGCTTCCAATAGTATTAAATTCCGATTTTTAATTTTTTTTTTATAGTATGTGTAAAGATTTTATATATATATATATATATATATATATATATATATATATATATATATATATATATATATATATATATATATATATATATATATATATATATATATATATATATATATATATATTGCATCAATAATATAAAATTCACATCTTCTTCCTCGATAAGTTTTCATATTTTCAGATATCTATCTTCCTTTTAGCTTTTCATCGTCGAACATTTGCCTCCCACGCGCCAATCATCTCACCCGTCGTTGCCACCTCCGATGACAACCACGGGCACCACCTTTTCCTTTGAGTCTGACACAATGACCTTCTCCCCTCTCTTTGAAACAAAAGGGAAAAACAAAACCAAAAAAAAATTAAATATTTAAGGTTACTTGCTTGATTTTTTATTAGGTTTCAATTTTTATTATTTGCCCAGAACTTCTAAAAAGTCAGGACCGACCTTGGGTGTCATTGATTGTTCTCAACCTAATGGTTGAGAAATTTGATGATGTTGGACCGAATGCTCGTGCACTTTATGTTGATAAATCATAGTTTGGCGAATCTTGTGTTGTTAAACTAGTTGTTGTGTTAGAACAATAGCTTGTTCATGAAGAAAGAGGAGAATATCCACTTCACCATTGTGATCAAGTTTTATTTGTTTTGTTTATTGATTGATTTTATAGTATTACAAGAGTTAGTTTAAATAATATTTACTGCTTGAGATGTTGTACCTAACTTTAGGTTTGTTACACCTTTAACTAACTCCTTAGGATGGACATGTACATCACTTACATTCTCATGTATAGCCTACAATCATGCATACATGTACTCTCTTCTAATAAACCCCATCAAGATCATGGTGGTTCCAATAAACCCACTTTGATCTTGTTTCGAAAATCTGCAAACATAGTTGTTGGTAGTGACTTAGTGAGTGCATCAACTAGTTGGGCATGTATTGGAACATGTTATATGTGAAGCTGTTTGGACATACCTTCTCCCTAACAAAATGAATATCAAGTTCAATGTGCTCTTTCCTTGTGTATAGTATCGGGTTATGAGAGAGCAGGACAACATTGAGGTTGTCAAATAGTAAGGTGGGCACATGATACTCGATATACAATTCAGATAGAAGAGATTCATTCCATAATAATTCAGCAGTGGTATGTATCAAGTCCTTGTATTCGTCTTATGTGCTTGAGCGTGCTATAAGTACTTGTTCTTTTATGCTCCAAGAAACTAAATTTGGTCCAAAGAATATGTATGAGCCAGACGTTGAGCGGCGATCATCAGGTCGTAGGGAGAGTTTTGGTGAATGCAGGGCCGATGTAAGTTATACAATGTATGTTGTCGTAACATTTAAGTAACATATAATTTGTTTAACTATAGCCCAGTGGGAGTCTAGTAGTAAGGACATGAGATAACATAATTTTTTGACTGAGAAAGCTATGTTAGATCGAGTGAGAGTTAAGTATTGCAAGGCCCCAACTGTAAAACGATACATGAGCAGATATGTCATGACATCGGTGCCACGTTTGGAAAATAGGTCATGAATGTACTTGGTTTGTGTAAGAAGAATAGTTCCATTGTCCTGATGATGAACTTTAATTCCAAGAAAATATTAGGGGACACCAAGTTTATTGAGTGAAAAATTTGTGTGAAGTTTGTTAATAAGCTCATGGATAAGTTTAAGGGGGGAACCTTTTATGAGGATATCATCTATATAGACAAGTGCATATTGTTTGAAATTGTATTAATTGTAAATGAACAGAGAATAATCATATTTACTTGAGTTAAATCCAAAATTAACCAATGTGTGATGCAGTTTTTTATACCATGCACATGTAACTTACTTGAGGCCATAAATGGCTTTTTTGAGCTTGCAAACGAACTATGAATTTAAACCTTCAAAGCCAGGGGTTGTTTGATATAGGCCCCATCTTGCTAATATCCATTGAGGAATGCATGGTTGATGTCAACTTGTTGGACTTCCCATTTGTAGGTGAGAGCTAGTGTCAAAATTACTCGAATTGTTGTTGGATTCACCACTTGTGAAAACATTTCAGGGAAGTCGAAGCCATGTTGTTGATGAAATTCTTTGGCCACTAGGCGTGCTTTATACTTTTTTACACTCCTGTAATACAGTGGGAGAACTGAATTTACTATTTTTGCGTTTTATCGCAACTGTTGCGGTTAGCAAGAGTCGCCACTGAATTTTCTTTCATCCAATAAAGGAAAGGGTGAAAAGAATAGGAAAGACCTTTCGAGAATTTTTCTGAGTAAGTGGGGGTAGGTTATGATAACGGAAGGTGTTAGCACCCTTTTTATCCATAGTTATCTACGAGCTCTTAGTTGCTAGCTCACTTTGAAAATGCTTTTTGTGTAAGTGTAAATTTGAAAATATTTTGAAAAGATGCATTAGTGCGACGAACTTTGTAATGATTCTCGTATCATTGAGAAAGCATACAAAGTGTTTTGTCTTTGAAAATATTTAAAAAAGAGAGTGTGTGAGAAATTGTTTTGGTTTTGCGAGCAAGCAACTACAAGCTATCTACCTACTCAAAAGATCTTTATTCTTTTCCTCTTTTCCTTTAGACAGTGTTATCTTACTATTAGTTAGTAGGTAGCCCTATCATTGGATGTTTGAGGGACAGGCGCGGGTCATCGCACAATCATGAAGACAACTCGTAGGATACTTTAGCAATAATCCTAAGGTACTAAGATCATTTATCGAGGCAGCATCGAAGGTTCATCGAGGGACTATGATCTTTTAACGAAAGGGTCTTTGCTAAAACATCTCACGTTCGAGATACGTGACTATTTGTTTTCTGAAGGAAACAAGTGGGGGTACCTTAGAGGTGCACGTGTGCGAAGTGTTTTGTTTTCAGTTATTTATCTTGTATTAGGGTTTTCTAAAGCTTTGTTTTAGATATATACAAGTGTAGAAAGTAAAAATGCGGAAAATAATCTATGTTATTACATTGCTTCGGGGATGGGGAAGTACAAACCAAAAAATTGAGGGATAAAAATGTAAAAGGGTCCTAATTAGCTATTGCAAACTTTGGACAATTACAATATTGAAAGAATATGAAAAAGTAAATAAACGCGTGAAGATTAAAGAGGGAAAGGATATCTAAGAAAACCCTAAAAAATTCTAAGTATAAGAAAAATATTTTTGTTGTTTTTATTTAGAAAAATGATTTAATTATGGAACCTAATTTTAATTAAAAATAAAGTGATAAAATTAATTAATTTTATTTGTGAAAATTAATTTAATAAAAAAAACCTAAATCTAATTTTTTTTTGACTTTATGATTTTATTATTATTATTATTTCTGATTTTTTTTAAAAATAAATTAAAACAAAAAAATAAATGATAAAACAAATAAATTAAAATTACAAATGGGCCAGATTTAAAGTAAATGGGGGGTGCGTTTCAAAAAAATCCCCAGGCCCATTAGCAAGAGGGCCCAAGCGCCTGGAGATCTGGTGAAGGTAGCTCCTTAGGGTGCACCGTGGTCATGATTGCTTTGAAGTGTTGGATCTGAAGTTTTCGAGATTGGATGGCCCAGATGTCGGTTGCATCATGCGCGTGCTGGCCTGGTATATACTGGATCTATAAAATAAAGGTTAGAAAAATGAAAATTGCTCCCTGCCTGAGTCGAACCCAGGACCTGGCTGGGGTGTGTCTTAAGAGCGCGCATGCTACCATTGGGATGTGTTGTTCATTCGTTACATTATTCAAAACAAAACAATATAATTCAAAATAAGTGCTAATGACAGGCAAGAAGAACATGCGCGCCCAGGTGAACCCCCTGGATTTGAATGAGCCAATGGTGTTATTTCATTTTGCCACATGAGCTCTTCGGTGAGTCAGACCACCCCTCACGGTGGTCAACTCCTTCTTCTCCAGCGAGTGAATTTCTGATCTGCAAAAATACGATGAATTAATGGGGATAAAGATCATAGCCCCCCTAATTCGGGGTCTACAAGTTCAGTGTTACCCTCCGTTTGGCCTAAAAGCGTCTATAAACAACAAATCGAAGTTTCACTGTAACTATGCCCTAGTGATGGCATCTTGTTGTTCCTGTGTTAGACCTCACAAATAATGGTTCAAAAACGTTCTAAACATTAATACGAACAAATATATATGCATGAAGTTCATTGAAATCACATGATTAAATAGTTTGAAATTCAAGAATATAAGCAAACCGGTGTAAGTCAGTAGGTACGTCCTCGAGTCTTTTGATCTTGAATAAGGATCTGGATCGCCTCCTGAGAACTCCAGGAACGTGTTTGAATGCTTGAAACCGATTGACCGTGGCTGCAAGTTGGGTTTTCGAATTGCCCTAACTTTGATAAATTTTGAGAATTTTGTAGTGTATTCTTG